CACACAGGCGGGCGCAGTCGCGCGCCTTGTGGGCCCCGCTCAGACATGGCGGCGGGGGGCGTGGCGCAGACATTGGGCGAGGAGGATTTCCCTCGATGAAAAGGAGGAAAACGAGGGGAGAGGAGGAATTGCGCTTAGCGAGGAGGTGGGTTTTGCGCCGCGACCACCGGGGAGCAGGATCGTGGGCGCGTAGATGCGCTCCGATAAGAAACCGAAATCTAGAAACGCGTCCAAATGGAGCGTTTTTACGGAACGCCGTAAAATGCTGCCCCGGCGTAATATCTTGCTAAAAATATTTGATTTAGGCGTTTTTGATGATGCTCGGCAAGTTTCTAATTGAAACCATATGTTTATTTCCACTAATTAAAAAGTTAATTAACGAATTTTAATTAATTAGCCACCTTATCGCAAAGATTAGCTACCCACATAATGTCCGTCTGGTCGTATAACCCACCTGCCCAAACCGCATTAGTGTAGCTTTCACGTTTTTTTTTTTTTTTTTAAACAAATCTGTAAGAATAAAAAACACCCTGTATACAAATTATAGTGCATGTTTTTCCCGCACAAACGATGTGCAATTTCCGAACACTCAGTCTCCTTTTAAATATAGCTCTAGCGGAAAGAGCGAGATGCTAAAGCTCCAGAAATAACCGTTATTTTGTTCAAAATTTCAAGGAGATTTTCGGAAAATTTCAAGGAGCAAATGGCGGCCGATGACGCCCACAAATATATGAAAATGAATGACGTCACCTACAGGGAACGGTCCCCATTTTCCCATTCAAACTTTCCAAAAATGACTTGTGTAAGCGGGCCGCCAGTCGGGTGATGAATAATGTTTATTGTTCCGAAGTGCGCCTTTATCAAGGCGAGGAACGGTGTGACGTAGGACGTCCCACGGTACATGATTGGATGAGCTCTTTCACTAGCATGACACAGCTTGTGCCCTGCTACATTTCCCCTCTTTAAAGGGGAATGGGAAAAGGGAAAGGGGCTTTGTTACAGTCTCTCGGGCAGTGGGTACCGGCAGGGTTCCCGGCGTTCTCGGGTACTTTTGCGTAGCTCTTGACTGGGGTCGTTGATGTCCTGGTCTACCGGTCGGTCTTCGGTGGAAGGTCGACTCGGCTGGGATGCTGCCTCCCTTAGGTGCTCTCTTGTGCGTCGAATCTCGCGGCCGTCTTCAGTCTGAAGAATCGCTGAACGCGGGGTGTCCGCTGGTCTCAAGATGACGGCTGGCGACCAGGTTCGCTGACGTGTGTCGTACGTCGTGACCTATTGCCCCGGTGACAATGGCGGCAGGTTTCGGGAGTTGCGGTTGTAGAAAGTCATCTGCCGCTGCCGGATCTCCTTGAGGTGGTTGTGGACGGCTTTGCTTGGCACAGTCTCCGGCTCCAGGTGGCTTGTTGGTACCGGGAGCAGCGTCCGCGCCTGTCGTCCCATCAGCCTCTGCACAGGAGACTTGAGGACAGCATCTCTTATTGCTGCGAAACAGAAGGGACGGACGATTTTTGGGACGTCTTGCTTGTTATCAGGCCAGCTTGTCTCCGCGTAGTCACGCAGGTTTGAGAGTTCGGGATCCTCATTGGTTGCTCCAAGAACGTCCTTAAGGCGAGTTTCTGATGTGTTTGAGGGTGGCGGCATCGCCAGGATGTCATTTGCGCGATCCGGGTCCAGGCGCAGGCCTTGCGTGGTCAGGATGTGACCTAGGTAGCGAACTTCTGTCTTGGTTATGACGCCTTGCTCTTCCATGCGCTGAAGTTCCGCCTTGACCTTGTCTTGAAGGGCAACTAGAACTCTCCTGGCCGGCACGACGACTCCAACAGTTCCAGGTTTCAGCTTCATTTCATACTCGACATCTTTCAATTGCCCAAGGCCTTTGAAAACTTCTGCAAAAGGTTGTGCGGCTTGGTACAAGTTCTCTAGATGAACAATCTGCACCCGGTATAGAAGTCCCAGGCGCTCGGCAACGGATCCGCTCAAGGTGATCGGCACATGTTGTTCTACGACAAAGAAGAGTTCTTTGTGCGCTCTGCCGTTTGCGGAAAAAAGCAATTTAAGTTTCTCGTGAGCAGTCGTGTTGTTTCCGAAAAACGCAGTTAGCGTCACTTGACAGTCTTTCCGAGGCTTATCTGAAAGCTTTACGACGTCTTGCATTGATATGACGCAGCAGTTAGCGCCCGTATCTAGCTTGCACGCCATTGGTTTGTTCTCAATGTGAACTGACGCGCTCCACTTGTCGGTCGCCCCCCCCCCCCCCCCCCCCCCCCCCCGACCCAGTTTACCGTTAATGCTTCGAGAAAGAATTCCTCGTCACTTTCGCTGTGCAGGGCGCGTAGTTCTTTCTTCGGTTTATTCGCGCTTTGTTGAAGTACAGGCGTCTTGCACACTTGAGCAAAGTGATTAAGCCTTCCACATTTCTTGCACGTTTTTCCTTTTGCTGGGCAGGTTTCGCCGCGGTGAGTAAAATAGCCGCACCTAGAGCAGGGACTCTTTTTCGCAGCAAGAGCATTGATAGTTGTCTCGGGTGCGCCTTGCGCTGTTCCAGTAATCTCCCGGAACTTTTCCTGCCCTTGTTCTTGAAGGCGACACAGCTCAACGGTCTTTTCGTAGGTTGGGTTTTCAAGAAGTAATTTCCGCTGCAGGCTCTTGTCTCGAACTCCTAGGATGATACGGCTGCGTAGCATCCGATCTTCGAGCTCTCAAAATTCACAACTCTTAGCTAGAATCCTTAGCTCTGCTAACCATTCGTTGAAAAGTTCACCTTCTTTTTGGTCTCTTGACCCGAATCTGAATTCCTGGAAAGTCAGGTTTGTAGCGGGCGTGTAGTATTCTTCGAACTTTTGAATCAGTACTTCTACACTGTTTCTTTCTTCATCTTCTGTAAACTTAAAGGTGTCATACGCCTTTCTGGCTTCTTCTCCGATTGTTATTAGTAAGGTTGCTCCCTGCACTTCCTCCGGCTGCTTGCTCAATTGCGTAGCGGTGCAAAACAAGGCGAACTCACGTTTCCAATTTTTCCATCCGAGCCATGCGTCGCCTGAGGTGTCCAGGGGCTTCGGCGGCGGCAGCAGCGTTGACGGCAATGGGGGCATCGGCGGCGTTGACGGTTTCGACATCTCGACTGGGCACCACTGCCACCATGTAAGCGGGCCGCCAGTCGGGTGATGAATAATGTTTATTGTTCCGAAGTGCGCCTTTATCAAGGCGAGGAACGGTGTGACGTAGGACGTCCCACGGTACATGATTAGACGAGCTCTTTCACTAGCATGACACAGCTTGTGCCCTGCTACAACTTGTAAATTATAACTAGATGACGTCTAGTTCCAAAAATGTATCACCTTTCCGGACTGCTAGCGCTATATTTGAGTGGAAACTAAACGTTCGGCGATGCGTAGATCTTTTTTTTTTTTTAGTTTAGGAGAACGATGTAAAATTTTCGGGGACTGTATGCATATCTGACTGCAAAAAGTGTGCTCTTTTCCACAAGTACTACGTGACTGATGGCATTTTATAACCGCTTTAATACACCCTGACAGGGTGTGCACTATTATCAATTGCAAAGAAGGATGCCCTGTAAAGGCGTTGGTTGCCGGTAAGAGAAATGTTTCAATTGACCTCATCTAAACTACTTGTGCAAAGCTAAATTTTGTATATGTTTGTCAGGAGATTTTCATTGCGTGTCTCTCTCAACAATTTTTCGCAAAATGAAAAAAAAAATGTGCGAAATTCTACATTCAACATTATCATAATCTTGTCGCTAATTTCAAAGATGATAATACCTGTCTGTCACATGTATTTTTGCGAAACATTTGCAGAAAGATAATGCCTATCGCATTTTCTATATAGCGTTTTAAATTCAGTTGACGCATTGAATCCTTTTTAACCATAGCGTTCCCATGGATTAGCGCATCGACTGGTAGTGACACCTCGTGTCAAATAATTACAACGCGACCTCCGTGACCTAGCTGTTGATCGTTTGCGGTTTACTCACAGCGTTCCGAAAGTCGCGAGCTTCCAAATTTATAACCGCTTTGTAGATTTTGGAGCAGCGAAAGCGGTCATCATTGGTGCTGTGCTTGCTCTCTGTTAACCTTCTCAGCAACTTTACTTGAAGTTTGCCATCATGTTGATTGTATAGCATTCCCTTTCGGTAGAACGCCACAATCCCGTGATTTCTCAAGCGAGCACTCGGTTCCATTCGCTATCGTTTACATTGAGATCTTGATTCGGCTTGAAACTCTCAAACCAATTCCATCTAGCGGATCCGACGAGATTCGCTTGGCTTGCAAATCGACCTGATTTTACATAAGCCGATTCGATACAATAACTCGATTCGACGTGCTACCGCCGCATTCCTGCAAGTGCAGCCATTTTCTTCCGGTCTTTCCTGCAGAAAGAGCGAACACGTGCTGCTCGTTTGCACAAAAAAATATCATGCTCCTTGATATTCTAATAATTTAATATAAAGTTCACTTCAGTTCTGTCACAATGCTCTCCGGTTCTAGTACATTCTACAGCTGGCTCGATATCCAAGCCTCATATTAAAGTGCCTGAGTGGTGTTACGGGTGAATGAGCGAGCGCATGGATTCCGGGCGCGCTACATGCGCGAGTGCTCATTCGAAAGAAATATTGTACTGAGCTTCGTACGCGCGCCTGTGCCTTGTATATTGTTGCACAGAATTTGAGAAATGAAGTACTGCGTACCTAATTTACCGCTCCCAGACAGTACAGTAGTGTATCTGTAAAGTTCTTGGAATAATAAAGTACAAAATAAAGCAAGGATTTGTGCATAGATCACCATACAACCCAGCGTCAATTTTTTCGAGGTTCTCTGATATTCATTGTGAATGCCAGAAGGGTGATTGTAGCCGTCACTATTATTCAATTCAGTAATATTCAAACTGAACAAAACGGGAGTCTTGTGGGGGCAACCGATAGGAGAGAATAAGTGAAGTCTGGCTTATTCTCTTAGAAAGGGGAAATTTATTAAACAGAAGCTTACCGTATGATGCTTGCCACTGGTATCTAAAAAAAAATATTTGTTTAAGATTAGAAATTAATACGAGTGCTCAAGTAGCTATAAATTTAAGAAACCGTTTTGCAGATGACAGAGCTTGCAAGGTAGCCTTGCTATATGCTAATATATTTTATATGTTGGAAATCGACAATTTTTACAAAAGAAACTGTATATTGCCTGCAGAATAATCCCATTCGTTCTTCATAATCCTCAGCACACTTATCTGAAGATGCATGTCGAACTCAAGAAAATGATGCGCTCTTTCGCCTTCTTAAAGCTACTTTAATATAGAGTAAAAAATCAGCTTTCCCCCTCCTCCCTCTTTTAAAAGAAATAGCAAACTGTGAGCATTTAATGAAAACAATACAAAGTCTTAATAAGTGCAGTTTAGAAATCAGAAGTTGCAGCACTATATTACGGTTGTTAGGTGACATATACCGATATCTTGTTAGGCTACTATTTGTTGATAATGCTTGAATATGTCGCGTGCAGAAAAGCACAATCTCCTGCACCCCTAGTGAACTGTCAACTTTTTTATCACACTGAAGGATCGTTTCCGAGACTTACTGATCGCAGAAATAAAAAAAAAAAAAAAGTCTCAACTAAAAATATGTATATTCTGTCAGGAGAAGGCTGCCTTTTGAGGAAGTGATTTCAACGAAGGTCATTTTCTTATTTAAAAAGGCTGGTGCAAATCGAGCAAAGAGATCACAGATCAGCTACCAAATCTGAGTTGTTTCCACAATTATTTTTTGTTGATTTTTAAATGGCCCTTTTTCCGGAGCCTTACTTAAGTTTTTCTTAATTTTGTCTTAGACCGCTATGATCAAGTCTACGCAAGAACAGCAGCATTCGCACACTAGATTGCTCTCGAGCTAACATTCTACAAATTTGTGTGTCACCCACATACACCGCGAGGAAACTTTTTATCACACCATACGCACTAAGCGACGCAATAAAGCCCAGAACTGATTATCGTGTGATGTTCGTTCCAACAAAACAAAATTGCTGATAGAGCTTGCGAAGTCGTTGCTCATTCCGTTTGTGCAGTAATTTTCTTGTTTTTTGTTAGGTGTCATATAAAACATATATGAAACCACTTAATGAAGAATCCTACTTCAAAGGAAAATTTAATAATCAGAAGCCGATTCTTTCCTTTGAAACTTGAGCTTGCAGCCCTTTTTGGTCATCCCTGACAAACTTCTTGTACGCAAGATTTCTTTTCACGTGCCGTCGTATGGGCGCTGCCATTTTGAAATCATGTGATGCGGGCACCATTTTGTTGGTTCAACTCCTTATTGGAATACGCAACTTGTGGAATCCGTTGTATTCGTACCTGTGGTGAGACACGAATGCGTTGTATTCATGTCTCACCGTGTTATGCATTATTTATTAACCAAAATCGTGAAGCTTGTGTTTACTACCGATTATATGTCATCAAAATGTGTACTGATTTCACAGTTGAATATGAAACATTTTTGGAGATTTTTGTCTCGGCCAGCGAGATACCTGTGCGGTGGCACAGGAACCAGAGTATCAGTAAGACAGTTCAGTAGTGTACATTCTGTTTTTGCTACCGGTTAAAGGGATGCTTACTTACGGATGTAGGAAAAAAACCAGGTCATCAGATGAAAAATTTTGCCTGATTCCTAAATCCTGCAGTAGATAAAGAAACTCTTCATTGTTTCCCTTATTCTTGCTTGCTAGGAATGTATTGTTAATCTGTAAAACACGTGCATCACCGTTACTTCCAGGAGGCACTTCAGGCACTTTTAGTCAATGCAACAGCACTGGTATATTTCTAAGCAATTGATTGCGAACCGAGTATTTTTACATGCAATATTGTTTTAATGCTTACCGTCGTGTTATAAGTGCCAACAAGGACAAACTCCAAGCTTGGATTTTTCAGATCACGAAAAAAAAGGCTCGCCTGCAAAAAGTAATTAAATAAACAGACGATTGATAAAATACAATTTGAAGGGCAAGATTTTTGAACTTGCACGAAATATATATATATATACGATTATTATCATCATCTGTGGAATTAAACGTTCTTTATTAGACAGTATATAACAAAAATGCTAGGCAAATTCGTATAGCAACATCGAAAAGCACCCTGCAAATAACTCCTAGGTATCTGCATGCTTCCGTTTTCGTTACTCGAAAATCATTTGAATGGAAGAGCCTCAGCGTACTCGCACACAAACCATCAAAGGCCACGCTCTCACTTCATTGCTACAACACCGTCTTGTTCACGAAAACTAAATAATAAATGCAGATTAAAAGACCTCTTTCCAGGAATCACATTCACAAATGAAACTTACAGCTGTTCTTTTCTATTCAATAGCTCGATGAAATATCTAGAGCAGCGGTTCTCTAATCGAGGTCCGCGGATCCTTTAGGGTCCGCAAAGGCTTTCTAAGGGTCCGCGGATCCCAGCCTCATCAGTCAAGCCCGAAAATTAAAGCTCTCTTTTCTCAGACTGTGAGAAAACGTTTTAATTTTTGGGTGAGTTTTTACGAGGATATGTCAAAAAGAGAAGTCGACTTCATGCTAGCCCTTAGTTATATCTATTTAATAAATCACTATTATAATTACCCTTTATATTTCCTTCCCCACACCACGAACGGGGTATTCCATCATTTCCGCAGATCCAAAAGGGGTCCGCGAAAGATCAATGACTGAGAACCACTGGTCTAGAGGGATAAGGCGCGTGTCTCATTGTCTTCTCTACCTGAATAGTTTTGCCGAAAAGCTTGAGTAACAGAAATAGATTTCTATTAGGGGACAAATGGTTCTGTAGAATTAAAGCAAACCAGTTGTTATTTATGCTGAAGGTTGACTGCGTCGCAAACTAAGGAGTAGGTCTGCTGAAAAGTGATTTTAAACTTCGGTACAAAAATTAGGTAGGATTATGTTTCGAGCTCACCGAATTTAAGAACGCTTGTAGATACACGTCCAAATATGCACTTCGGTTGCTGTGATATTTCAAGAATAAATCTTGGTACATATTATCGAGAACAAATCGCACTCCAATTTGCCGAGTCTCTGAAAAACGTGTAAGCATAAAACACTAGATATTCATTCAATTGCAATAAATGTTGTTAAAACAGATAAATGCGGGGTGTACAAAAATAAGCAAGACTAGACATAGCGCCCATGAAGCCTGCACGGCGTTCCTACAAGTTACGGCTAGAAATCTTTTATTGTTTTTTTATTGTTTTGTTTTTATCATCGCCGGGTCAGTTCTTTTCTCCTCTGCATCCGCATTATCTTTCAACCAAAATTCACCTCCACAAAATGGGCTATCCAAAAATTTGTGACGCTCTAGCTGTCTTCTCGGTGCATTATGGCAATCTAATGTAAGGCCAGTTAAATAGTACCAATGGCTAAACAAGCTGATGTTCATTTGACATCTTACACTTTAAGAAAAAGCAAAGAAGTCTGGACCATAAAAAAACAAAATACGCAATTTTTTTTTCTTTTCTGCTCGTTTTAATATTATTGCGGTCTGAACTCATAAGGATAAGACGGAATAGATTGTGCCGCTTCCAGGATATACGATGCTTCTTAGTCAGCCTGAGCATACATCGGAACAGCTGCTACACAATTCCCTGCATCACGCGTTGCATCTCGGGATTACCGCGAGGCCTCCTAAGAATTTGCAGAAAGGCCCCACATTTATTGATTTATTTATTTAAAATACTTTGAAGGCCATCAGCATTATAGAGGGGAGTGGGGGTTAGTGGCAGTCAAACACTTTGCAGCTCAATCTGAGCAGTATAGATTATTTATGGCAGTTCTAAATAAGTGGACAACATCGATGCAGGAATCACATGTCCCCAAATCTTAGTAAAGCTGAATGGAGTCGACGCTACTTCACAAGCGTTGATAGATATAGGATTACCTATAAGTCTCGTTGACATTTCAAATTTGCCATCTACGGCTCATTTGTCACGGCCTAGAATCAACTTTACTATTTTATTTATCAGCCAATGGAACACCCATACATAAGGTGGACAGCGCTTGTTTAGAAGTGACCACTTTGAGCACAAACGCTCCGCTTCAAGTGGTAGTGGTATAAGGCTCTGTTCACCTCCTTAGAATGGGTTGTGACCGGTGCAAACAAGTTAAAATTAATCTGACATTTCTGACGAATAGTCATGTGATTGTTAGAAATTAATTTGATCCATCAAGTGTCTTTCCTAGTCGAGAAACGAATAAACCTTTGATGGCGGAGAAAAAAACTTGGACGGAATACTTCGGTAGAACCTTAACGATAGTGTATACGAGTGCTCACCCAGTAGAGGCAGTAGTGGATCCAGATGTCCTAACAGGAGGAAGTTACATTTATCATCTCGGCTACTTATTCAACGTTACTTTACGGCAACCGATGTTTCTTTGACGATGTTTAAGTTACTTGACTCCTAGAGAATCTTTTTTATCGTCCTCATACTCCAGTTTTAATCATGCCAACAGTATATCTGCCAATTGCACGCCTATTACGTCTTTATGCGATTCCTGTAGAGTACGAATTGCATCGAGAATAAAAATTCAAGGCGAATGGGCTGAGCTACGTGGTTGTTTATTTCGGGTGCCTTATCTTATCTCTTTCTTTCGTTCCTACGTTCAGCTGCTTCCACCCAAAATAAAAATTTCTCCTGCATCAGCTAAGTTTGTTCCGGTCAAACCTCCACGGTCGACGCAGCACCTAATCGTGAATATGTGGCGGTTCGAAGTCCGTTGTCCTTCAGTAAACAAGACACATCAGTTTTAGTGCTGAATTTGAGTAGTAATGAAATAACATTTGCATCTCGTGAACAGCTCGGTAAGATCTCTGACCTACCGATCGAAGTTGTGGTCACAACGGTAGATATTGAACTGCCTCACAAGGTGAAATGACAAAACCAGTTAACAACACTAAAGGTCGGTAGAACGCAGCACCTAATCGTGAATATGTGTCTAAAGGTCGGTAGAACGCAGCACCTAATCGTGAATATGTGGCGGTTCGAAGTCCGTTGTCCTTCAGTAAACAAGACACATCAGTTTTAGTGCTGAATTTGAGTAGTAATGAAATAACATTTGCATCTCGTGAACAGCTCGGTAAGATCTCTGACCTACCGATCGAAGTTGTGGTCACAACGGTAGATATTGAACTGCCTCACAAGGTGAAATGACAAAACCAGTTAACAACACTAAAGGTCGGTAGAACGCAGCACCTAATCGTGAATATGTGTCTAAAGGTCGGTAGAACGCAGCACCTAATCGTGAATATGTGGCGGTTCGAAGTCCGTTGTCCTTCAGTAAACAAGACACATCAGTTTTAGTGCTGAATTTGAGTAGTAATGAAATAACATTTGCATCTCGTGAACAGCTCGGTAAGATCTCTGACCTACCGATCGAAGTTGTGGTCACAACGGTAGATATTGAACTGCCTCACAAGGTGAAATGACAAAACCAGTTAACAACACTGACTGGGATGTATTTAACTTCGGGCCAAACTTGTTTTGTGATCAGCAGCAGAATATTCAGACGGTATCACCATACCGGAGCTGTATAGCCGTTTCCGCTGACAAACTGGATTTAACGTCGCTTGTACGGCCTCGAATCCACAGCGGTGACCATCCTCCCATCCATTCACACCCAAGACGAGTCTCCATGACGAAACGACGGGAAATGTGAAGTCAAGTCGATGACATACTTGCACAAGGAATCGTTGCATCATCGGCTGTTCAGTCCATGGTCATCACCCGTTGTGTTTGTTCCGAAGAAGGATGGATCTGGGCGATTTCGTGTTGACCACTTAAAACTGAACAGTGTCACCAAAAAAGATGAACGATACACTAGGTCGACTTAACGATTTTTAATTTTTTTTACAATTTACAAGATGACGTTCTTGATTACCGGTCGTCGCCTGCGTCTGACTTGTTCCTGTAGAAGAGGATAAAAACGCCAAAGGACAGGGACAAATTGAAGGACGTAACGACAACACGGAGTGCACTAACAACTGAAAGTTTATTAGAAACACACTGACTTGAATACTTCAATAAAACCATGAAACTTTCAGCCACCCCTCTCTCTCTCCCTCTCTCTCTCTCTAATATAACATTTCCTTATCTAACAGCGCCACAGAGGGCTCACTGATACACTTATCGGCGCCCTTTGTTTTGTAGACAAAGGCTTCGTAAATTTTCCTACTTGTTTTTTCAGCAATGTCGTCTTAGGATGGTTGTGTTTGAAAATAAAGCGGTGCACGGGCATCAATCGCAATGCACGGCCAGATTTCCAGACGGTGTCTGTTTGGTAGCTGCTACGTGTTCTCTGGCTCGGTGATTTACGCAGCGGCCTGTTTGCACTACGTAGGGGCGCCCGGAGGATAGTGCAATGTCGTAGAGTCCTGCAGAACCTTCGACTTTGCGGAAACCTGTCATGCAGATGTGTCGTGATGCACCTACATCTGGACGCCTTGGCGAAAGAAAAACAATGGCCAATAGTCAGAAGGATACTGGTAGAAAACCTGGCTAGCAGCGTTAAAAGTTACGTCGCTTCCCCCCCCCCCCCCCCCCCCCCCCCCCCCGCAGGGGGCACCTGTGAAAGCAGGTGTTTGGAGAGTGGCGTCTCCATGGACCCCGAGCCATGCGGGTTCGCCCGCCCACGTATGGCTGTGCGTGGCTTTCCCGTGTCCGGGGAAAAGGGCATCCTGGTGGTTGAGCCGAGCCCAGGGTAGGTTTAAACCCTTCGGGGCCCCCCGGGTGAGGCAATACACCACTTCGGCCCCTGCTTCTCGTAGACGGGAGTCCTGGTAAGGCCCGGCCAGCATGATTCAGTCTAGTCGCCACTTCTACTGTCCCCTCTCTGCTTTCACCCTTGTCTTCTCCTCCTTTTCACTCTTCTCATTTCTCTTTTCTCCTTTTCAACTCCTTTGGCGGCAAGGGCTAACCTTGGGTGGCGACAGACACCTTGTCCAGAAACACTCTTGGTTATAGAGACTGGGCAGCACTAATAGCGTAACGTCTTCAGCCAAGCCATTCTTTTTATGGAGCGTTACCTATTCCCTTGTTGGGCTCGGTGGTGGGCGGTGCACCACAGTTTCCAACAACCCTCCCCCTTCATATGGGTTCTCAAGCTAAAAAACCTTTTAATCTTGCCCCGAAAAGGGTCCGCACCGAAGCACTACAGATAGAAAAACCAACATACACATTTTCAAAGTTCCCCAAGTTTCTTGTCATGCATTCTGAGGATAAAAAACCGCTTGGCAAGTTGTCCCCTATCCTCATTTCAAAAGTTCTTGAAGGAGTGATTGGGAAGAACTGCAATGCAAAAAAGATGACATCTGGTGATCTCCTAGTGGAGATACACAGTAGGCAACAAAGTGATTCACTATTAGCACTAAACTGTGTGACTGATTACAAAGTCACTGTCACACCTCATAGAACACTTAATACAATTCAAGGGGTGATCTCAGAAGACGACCTGCTCGAGTGTACAGAAACCGAAGTAGTTGAAGGCCTTTCTACACAGGGGGTAATCGCTGCTCGGCGTATTACCCTTCGCCGCGATGGTGTTGAACGCAAGACGAAACACATCATCCTCACATTTGAGTCAACTACACTTCCTGAAGTTGTGAAGGCAGGATATCTCCAGTGCCGCGTCCGCCCCTATGTGCCAAACCCTCAGCGGTGTTTTAAATGCCAACGGTTTGGCCATGGGTCACGGAACTGTCGAGAAAGTGACACTTTTGCCAAGTGTTCTAGCAAGGAGCACGTTGCTGATGTGTGCAAGAATGAGCCCCACTGTGCTAACTGTAGCGGTAAGCACCCAGCGTACTCCCGATCCTGCCCATTATGGAAACAGGAAAAAGAAATCCTCACCTTGAAGGTTACCGAAAATATTTCATACGCTGATGCAAAGAAGCGTTTCGCCTTTGTATCCAAAGGCTCTTATGCCGAGGCCGTACGCAGGGGACCGGTACGGCCAATGGTTTCGACGGGAACGCAGACGTCTACGGACAGTCTGCGCCTCCCGTCGAGGTCTCCGTCCTCGGGAGC